GTTATTTAACAAATTGCAATGCTAAAATGAAGAATGTGTCTTGGATTTTGGAAGTATCCCACTTTATGCCACACTTCCGAAAAATTGATCGAACAATTTGTAAGAGAAATTCAACTACTTACCCTTCTTGGCTGTCTGACTAAAATCTATTTGTACAGGTAGTCCTAAACTTATGACCATGATTGAGCCCAATATTTCTGTTGCTAAGCAAGACATTTATTGAGTTTTGCCCAATTTTACCACCTTTCTCATCACAGTTGTTAAGTGAAACACTGTAGTTATTAAGGCATACCCATTATCACATGACCCTGGAACACTGCAACCATCATAAATATGAGTCAGTTGTCAAGCATCTTAATTTTGATCACATGACCATAGGGATGCTGCATTTGTTGTTATAGAAATGGCTAGTTTATATTATTTTGGAAAAGTAAAAAGTTGAGATTCGATGTTAATGTTTTATTCTACTGCAACAGAGAGAGTCAGAAATCAGGATTTTCTTTGCTTTGCTTCCTCTCCTCTTCACTTTTCTTTCCCCTCTTCCTCCCCACTGTGTCCTATTATTTGCTTTCGTGTTTTTGTATTTTATTCTATAATCTAATTTAAAAAATGTTTTTAAAAAGGATGCTGCAACGGTCATAAGTGTGAAAAACCAAGTCACTTTTTTCAGAGCCTTTGCAACTTTGAATGGTCACTAAATGAACTATTATAAGTCAAGGACTAGCTGTAAAAATATAGGTACTTCTTGATTTACAACCATTCGTTTAATGACAGTCTGAATGTTACCACAACACTGAAAACACAGGCTTATGATTGGTCCTCACACTTCTGACCATTGCACCATCCCTACCAGGGGTCTGAAACACAAGGCCTATATGCTGGATCCAGCCCACAATGTGATTGGATCTGGCCCATGGGGCTGTCCTGGAAAATGTAAGGGGCCAGCCCGCATCGCTTCGGCCCAGTCTACCCAATGTGAAGAGGAACCATCGGGCCAGTGTGGCTTCAGCCCGGTCTACCCAATTCAAAGAGGAAACATGCCAGAAGTTTGGGGAGTGGTGTCAAACTGGCCACACCCACCCAGCTCCTTGAGGTCAACCACAGACCTGATTCAGCCCTCAATGAAATTGAGTTTGACACCCCTGATCCAGGGGTGAGATGCAAATATTTTTACTACTGGTTCTGCGGGTGTGACTAGGTGGGAGTAGCTAAGTGGGAATGGCCATGTGACTGGGTGGACATGGCTTTTATTTTATTGCAGCACCCCCAATGCTCCATTTTTATTTTATTTTTTGCCTCCTGGGCCTCAGGGAAGCCTCCTGGAAAGACGTTTTTGCTCCCAGGAGGCAAAAACCAGAGCATGGAGTTCAAACCAGTCTGAACTGGTAGAATCCCACCCCTGCCCTGATCCCTACATTCACATGATCAAAATTCAGGCCCTTGGCAACCGGCTATATTTATGATAGTTGCAGCCTCCTGCGGTCCTGGGATTGTCCTTGGAACCTTCCTAGGGAACTTCTGACAAGCAAAGTCAAAGGGGGAAGCCAAATTCGCTTAACAACCACATGAGTCACTTAACAACTGCAGTGATTTGTTTAACAACCTTGGCAAAAAGGTCATGAAATGGGGCATGACTCACTTAACAACTGCCTAGCAATGGAAATTTTGGGTTCAATTGTAGTCCTAAGTCGAAGACTACCTATACTATTCCTAGTAAGTACAAATGGAATTCTGCTTTCTATGTTATATGAAGGGTTTTTCTCAATTATGCGCGAGAAAAAAAACGTTCATACTTGTAAATAATACGTAGCGGTGCAGTTTTAGACTGTGGATTCAATATTGTATAAGGGCTAGCGGCCTTCTTTAAATGGTAAATGTTAAGGGTGAAACAATTTTAGTGACATTTTCAGAATATTTCGGGGCCACATGATTCCAAAAGTTTGCAAAGATTGATAAGGATGCAAGTCTTCTTGGAATTAGGCCTTATTGTTATACTAAATAGATATAATACTCTTATCCACTCACAAAGAAATATAGTTTTATATACCTGAATGATTATACCCTAAAACCATGATGATAGAACCTATGATTTGACTTTTCCCTAAATTGCTTAGTAGAAGATATGGATGTTGTTGAATGGATTAGAGATTGAGTGCCGGTGCCATCAGCTACAATTTGTATTTAACTGAAAGCTTGCAAAGGCATCAAAATATAATTCCACTGAACTTTAAAACTTCTAAAAATTAGTGGATCAATGTACCAAAAGTTGAAAGAGAAAGTTGAACAGGTTGCATCTCTCCAAAACTAAAAGTGTTGGCTGCATTATATTTAGTATTCTGATGTGTTCCCTTTCATCACACAGGCACCTTCTGAAATATCTGGCCTTATGACTTTAATAAACAAACAAACAAAACAATAGAAGCTCATCTAGAGTCAATCCAAGAGTTCACCCACATGGGGGAGCAGTATTCAAACTAGATGCTGTATGGGGGAAGACAAGGCTTCTTTCAAAACTGGAAATCTTGCCAAACCAAAAAACCAGAACAGAATACAGCACTGCACAAAGTAAATGTAAAATGTTGAAGGGCATGTCATCGATCACGTTAAGATGAATTTAAAAGGCCGTAGAAATAGGAAGCTGGCAAGGAAAGTGGTTAGACCATTAGAGATCATGGGAAGTAAAGGAATATTAAAAGATGAGGGGACTTTGAGGAAGCTGGGAAACTTCTCCACTGTAGATATAGAATAGCCATCTCCAATCTTATGAAGACAGAGTCTAAGAAACAGAGGCAAATGGTGGTAAAATTCTAGAGACCTTTCAAATATTAAGAGTTCTTTGAAGCATACAGACAAGGGTATTCGAGAAGATGCAGTATGCTTGGACTTTCAAAATGTTTGCAACAAATTTCTTCATCTAAGGCTTCTGAGCAAATATAACATTCATGAGATTAGTGATGTCCTTTTGGGAGAATAGCTAAGATAAGAAAGCAGGAATATATGTGTAGTTTCCCCAAAGATGTAAACTTCAGGGTCTTCCATTAATATTTATATTGTATTGTATTGTATTGTATTGTATTGTATTGTATTGTATTGTATTGTATTGTATCGTATCGTATTGTATCGTATCGTATCGTATCGCATTGCATCGCATTGCATTGTACTGCATGGCATTGCATTGCACTGCACTGCATTGCACTGCATTGCATTACACTGTACTGCACTGCATTGCATTGCACTGTGCTATAGTGTGGTGTGGTGTGGTGTGGCATCATATAGCTTAGCACAGCACAGCACAGCATTGAATTGTTATATTGTATTGTGTTGTGTTGTGTTGTGTTGTATTGTATTATTAAAAGGATTTAGTTACAGGTAAGCGGTGTAGTTTGCTGAAAATATTTAAGATTTTTTCAGACTTAAAGGAGTTTTTAGTTTGCAGACAACTAAAGGAGGTGTCAAGTTGTGGATAACTCAGTGAAAACAAGCTAGAGATTAAAAAATATGCAAATTCCACGTGGTCCATTCTGTGGATTCAATCCAAGCTCTGAATATATTCAAGCATGAGTTTCTCTGAAGCAAGTTTCTCTAACCAAGTTAATTGCCTGGAATAAGAGAAGAAATTGATTAACAAAGCTTGGTTTTCCTCCCATTTGTCGGTGATTTCCAATAGATATAGTAGCAATGTTTTTTACAATAGTAAGCATGTTGTACTTTGAGTCACTTCAGCCAAGTATTGCTTAAGCAAGAATGAAGTTAAAATTTTATTGAAATTGGCACAGGGCCTTTCCAACTATCTTTACAGTTGGATTTTTTTTTAAATTATGTGCCTCTACTTTTCAGGCTGGATATGAGGACTTTTGTAGTCAGTGAACCAATTCTTTGAGGAACACATATGCCAAATTTCAGAAAGCTGGGTTGATGGGCTGGGTTCATAAATAAGGACAAGATGTTCTGATGGAATGATAGTATAATTTCGTAAGAGTAGAATGGATTTTAATGGGGTAAAAGTAGAAATACAAAGAATTTTCTAGTTTGATGATCTATCACTCAATGGATCCTAGAGCTTCCTTCCCTGAATTCACTTCATGGTATCTTACTTCCTTGTCTTCTTTTGTCTCTTTCTCTCTCTCTCATTCCTTTCCTCCCTCTCTTTCTCTCACACATACCTAGGCCATTTGGCAATGCCATCTGTGTATTTGTAATTGAGACTCATCCAATAACTGCTGATGAAAAAAAAAGCAGAACTACCAGTTTTACCCTCGCTTTGTTTCTGTTCCAGTTATTTCACATCTTCTTGTTTAGCTCTTTCCTATAATTTCTAAGTAATATTAAGCAAGTTTGGCCAGGGTTAAAGAAAGTCATTCACAGTGATATTGGGCAGACCACATTGGGGAAAAGATATCATTAAGATCAACTTAGCAAGAGATCTATTGAAAATGGATGAATTGATCAATAACAAAATATATTGTATCTCATAGCACAGAATAAAATAACAGAATAACAGAGTTTGAAGGAACCATAGAGGTTGTCTAGTCCAACCCCCTGCTCAGACAGGAAATCCTATACCATTTCAGACAAATAGTTGTCCAATCTCTTCTTAAAAACCTCCAGAGTTGGAGCATTTACAACTTCTGGAGGCAAGTTGTTCCACTGATTAATTGTTCTAACGATCAGGAAATTTCTCCTTAGTTCTAGGTTGCTCCTCTCCTTGATTAGTTCTCACCCATTGCTTCTTATCCTACCCTCAGGTGCTTTGGAAAATAGGTTAACCCCCTCTTCTTTGTGGCAGCCTCTTAGATATTGGAACACTGCTATCATGTCATTTCTAGTCTTTCTTTTAATTAAACTAGACATACCTAATTCCAGAAACCGTTTTTAATATGTTTTAGCCTCTGCATCCTTCAGTACTTTTCAATTTCAGGCACATACATAGGATTAAACTGTGAACAAATGTACAAATATTGAGAATCCTGGTCTAGATCTCTTGGTTTGTTTTTCACATGCTTAAAGGTATGGTCTGCTATGGAGTGCTGACAGTAGGCAGAGAAATTTAGGAGAGAAGAATGACTTAAATTAGAATGGCAGGATTTTGAAATGCTGACAGACATGAGTAATATTCTGCATGACATGAATAAAACTCAAATGCCCTTGTTCCGCCTTCAAGATTCGTCTTGGTTGTTCTTTTCCTCTAGAGCCACACCTTGTTCAAGAGCTGGGTAAATAACGATGATGGGCTTGATACTTGTGTAACTTTACCTGCTTGTTTTATGTTGTTGTTCTTTGTGATATCTATTTTTTTTTATTTAAAAAGTCCATAACTATTAATCTGAAAACTCTAGCCCTGTTCACACAATGAATTTCATGGGAACATATGAGCTTACATATTTCAGTTGTATTTTCAATTCTCCTTCCCCTTCCCATTTCCTGTCTTTTAAAGTTGTTTTTCATCTTGCTGTGTGGAGGGAGAAAAATAGTGTAAAATCCACAGTTTTGCCACCAGAATGTGGTTACAAGCAAATTTTGGAGAAGAAAGGCTGGGAAGCTAAAAATCTCATCCTGGTTTAAAAACTCATATCTCATCATGGAACGACTAGACATTGGTAGGAAGCATGAAAGCCAGCAGCACAAATTTAACAGAAGGACTAGACAGGGGTGGGGAACGATGGCCCTTTTATTCCCGGCTCAGGAATTCTGGGAGTTGAAGTCCACAAGTCGTAAAAGGATAATCATTCCGCAGCTTTGGACTAGACTAGAGGATCAGCTATATCTTCAGTTGGTACTAAACATTTAAAGATGTGCCAACAACTTTAACTGAAAAAAAAAACAAGAAAAAAGGATTCAACAATCAAGCATTTATCCTGAGACTGCTTTTTCTGAGATCACAGGACCAGCAGTCCTTGGTAATGTGGTCAGAGTATTCTTGCTAACTTAATATTCAGGCAGATTTATATGAGATACTTATTCTAAATCATCTAGTGTTGGAATTGGAAGCATAACAGAAGTACTGAAACTTTTTTTAAAAAGGAGAAATGGCTGGAGCATTAAATACAAAATTGCAGAATAAGGAAGAGCATTGTCAAAAGCCTACCAGATATAGACTGCTAATAACCTAGTTATCACTAGATGGCAGCAAAGGATACAGGAAAATCCTTTGATTCTTTGCTGCCATCCACTGGTAACTCAGGATTAGTAGACATGATGTTGCATTGTAGGCTAATTCTAGAATACTGTCACAAATACTTACATCAAAGAAGCTGCACTTTCTTTGCCCGTTTATAACAAGCAGGAATTAGACCCTCATGGGTCCTTTTGGTTGTAGTCCATGGCCATATGAGCCCAATTTGGAATCACAATTCAAACACTTTCGCTGTTGACTTCCAATAAGCAAAGTCATTGGGGAAGCCAGCAGGAGATCACAAATGGCCATCATGGGACCCTAGAATGCTGCAACTAAAACAGGATTTGCCAAAATTATGACAACTGTGACACTTCAACTGCTCTTGTTAGTTGGATGGATGTCACACCTTATGATCATGTGGCTTAGTGAGAGAGTTCCTGGTTCCAATTATTGTCAGTAAGTGAGGAGTACTCGTATAACCACACCTTGCAAATTATGAAAAGCAATCATACAATATAGGTAGTCCTCGAGACTTATAACAGTTCATTTTAGTTACAATTTGAAGTTACAACTCCACTGAAAAAAGGATTTATGACCATTTATGACCAAAAGAGGGCTGTGAAAATATTTACAGACCCCTCACATCCCAGACATAAACTGTTTCAACTCCTACCCTCAAAACGACGCTATAGAGCACTGCACACCAGAACAACTAGACACAAGAACATTTTTTCCCAAACGCCATCACTCTGCTAAACAAATAATTCCCTCAACACTGTTCAACTATTTACAAAGTCTGCACTACTATTACTGTTAATCTTCTCATCACTCCTTATCGCCCATCCCCTCCCACTGTAACTTTGTTGCTTGTATCCTTACGATCTATATTGACTGTTTCCTAGTATGATTTGATTGCTTATTGTACCCTATGACTATTATTAAATGTTGTATCTTATGATTCTTAACTCTTGATCTTTTCTATTATGTATACTGAGAGCATTTGCACCAAGATAAATTCCTTGTGTGTCCAATCACACTTGGCCAATAAAGAATTCTATTATGTTCTGTTCTGTTCTATTCTATTCTATTCTATTCTATTCTATTCTATTCTATTCTATTCTATTCTATTCATTTTTCATGCTTATGACCATTGCAGCATCCCCATAGTCATGTGATTTACGTTCAGATGCTTGACAACTGGTTCATATTTATGATGGTGGGTGTCCTGAGCTGTGATCCCCTCATGTGACCTTCTGACAAGCAAAGTCAATGGGGAAGCCAGATTCACTTAACAACCGTGTTACTAACTTTACCACTGCTACAGTTCACTTAATAAATGTAGCAAGAAAAATCGTAAAATGGGGCAATGCTCACTTAATGAATTTGTCACTTAGCAACGATTGCGGTCATACAACTCCATGGCTTCTCATCCTCGGGCATATAGAAATCTGCTTATGCAGCATGCACTGTCTGTCTCTCACGCAGGATAATTTTTACCTAGAGAGGAAGCCTTATCTTCTCTTAAGATTCTTGTCTGCTCTTCCTTCGCCCCAAGTTTAACCGAAAAGCGAAAAGCGTTGCTTACAATTGTCATGGTTTCCTTCTGGCAACTAGAAAACAGCTTTCATTCTGATGCCCCAATTCTTTGAAATGCATTCCCTACTGAGTTGAAGCCCCATGCTTCTTCCTTTGCTTTTCAAATACTTTTTTTTTTTTTTTGGGGGGGGGGGGGCAGACTTTTAACATCGACCATTTGATTATATCTTTTTTGATATTGTTGCTTTTAAGGTGGTTTTCCTCCTTTATCTTTAATATTGTAAAGTAGAGAGAGACTTAGGTAGTTGCCATCCTATAAAATCTGATAAGTAAACAAATAAATATGTAATATACTTAACAAGGTTAGGATTTTTTAAAAGAGCAACTAGGATAAGGATGACAGGCATTGCACTATTATCTGGTTGGGGTGAGCAAACTTCTGCAAAGCACAGAAACAGCAACCCAAAGTAAATAAATTCATTAGATAAGAAAAAGAAATGTAGCTTTTATTAGCTTACATCGACACCATTCTCAAGAAATTTACATTGTTGGAAGTCATTCTTTATTTCATCCTGTGTATATGTGGCTTCGTAAATTGTTTTTGGTTTTTCTTTTCTTTTTTTTAGCCATTTAGGTAGCATAGCAAAAAGGCCAATATAGATGAATATCCATTGTTCTGCGTAATGTTCAAGATATTTACACTGCTATAACAGGCTAGAAGGCAAATAGAATTGCTGAGTCATTACATGTTCAGATTCATTTGGAGTCCAGTATTCAGGAAATAGCTACAGAGCATGTCCTTCCCTAAGCCTTTAACTGTTAAATTGTTTTAACGATACAGTTTTTATTTTCAGCGTATTGATTTTGCTGTCGTATTCTATATATTGCATTGTGCTTTAATTGTTGTCAATCTCCTAGAGTGCTTATAGAAGCAGAAAAACGGGGTGTGATTTCTGTGAAAAAAATTAGACTTTATTGAATTTAAAAAATGGATAAAATATTTTTTTAAATATAGATTAAGAATAATTTCCAACTTCCTTCAGTTCAGATACAAGCATATAATAAAATAACTTTATTCATACTCCAAGTTTAAACAATAATAAAGGCATACTTAGCAAAACATACATAGCAAACAAAAGACAGTATTTCTATAGTAAAAACAAATTTAGTCATCAAAAAAATCAAAATCTCATTTCTATCTTTTTCAAGCAAGAAGTCCAAAAGTGGTTTCTAAACAGAAACAAAGCTAGACAAATTTTTATTTTTCATCAGAAAGATTGGCTATAAATTTTAATAATAACACAGTTTGGGGAAAAATAAGACATTTTAAAGCAGTTCCCAAAAGTTTATTTTAAGAACAAGATACTGTCCTGTGTTTGTATTTCTTCCTCCCCCACGTCCATAAAAATTTGCTGACTGACAGTTTTACATTTACCAGATAGAATTAATAATCTTACATGCGGCCAGACAAAAATGTAGCATTTTTTTCAGAAAAACACTGGCATTCACACTTCCATGGCCTGTTTGAAAAGTCAATAATTACACCAAGGAAAAAGACTAAGAAAAAGTCATCTTAATCTATAGTGGCAAAAAAATGGGAATCTGATGACACCTTTTGTGACTCAAACATTTTATTAAAAGACATAAGCTTTTGCGAGTAGAAGCTCCCAAAAGTTTATGCCTTTTAATAAAATGTGTTAGTTGGAAAACATGGCAAAGAGTAAAGCAATTGTTAAAATACAGGTAGTCCTCGACTTACGACCAAAATTCAGCCCAACATTTCTGTTGCTGAGACATTTGTTAAGTGAGTTTTGTCCCGTTTTATGACCTTTCTCGGCACAGTTGTTAAGTGAAGCATTATGGTTCTCAATACGGTTGTTAAGTGAATCAGGCAGTAGAATGGGAGAGCCCTTATCTAGTACAAACACAACCTCCAGTTTTATGCTATAGAAATGCACTTGTTGAAGAGTTTTGGTTTTGGTGTAAAGACACTGTATTGCATTGGATTTATTCTTTCTTTCTTTCTTTTTAATGAGGGCCAAAAAATTAATGGCAACCTGTGGTCAACACAAATGAATCTTGCCCACAAACTCTGCAGCTTTAGATTTAATTACTATGCATGGAAGTAACTGTAAGATTGAAAGAATTTTAAAACTTCCTGCTTCTCATGATGGCAAAATTCTCTGACTCAATTGTGGTCATAATCCATGGACTACTTGTATTTTATTTCTAAGTTGTTTTATTACATTATAACATATTAACAGGGGTGAGATTCAAATTTTTAACAACTGGTTCTGTGGGTGTGGTTTAGGTGGTGGGCATGGCTTGCTGGTCATGTGACTGGGTGGACATGGCCATGTTATTGGCTGGGTGTGGCCAACTCAATATCACTCACATTGAGGCACACATCTCCTCTCCTGGCCTCTCATGACTGTGGGGATGCTGCAACAGTCATAAGTGTGAAAAATGGTCATAAGTCACTTTTTTCAGTGCCATTGTAACTTTGAATGGTCACTCCACACAAGCAAAGTACCAGCAAAGGAGTGGGGAAAAGCTCCAGAGAAGTTCCTGAGACAGGAAGTCTAGTCCTGCCAAGAACGTAATAAGGGTTAACGGAAGGGCAGTTTCTGTAAGCAACACCAGAATGTTTCCTTCCTGCCTTCGTTACAGGATTAGGCCAGTAATTTCTTCTAACAACCGGTTCTCCGAACTACTTAGAATGTTAACAACCAGTTCTAGTGAATAGGTGCGAACTGGTAGAATCCCACCCCTGCATATTAATCATATACTATAGAACATAGATAATAACTGATTACAGTGGTACTTATACAATGGAAACTGGAAACTGTTAACACTCTTAACACAGTAATGAATAGAGTAAATTAAAGCTTTAAATATAATAAAAAATACATCAGTGTTAAATAGAATTTTTAAGAGGTTAATGAACATAAGCTCTTCACAGGAGTGCCAGAAATCAACTCTATTGTCATAGCTTCAGATCTCTCTGGAAGAAACTTTAAGAGAAGACATTATCCTTTAATGCAGGAATGAGCAACAGGTAGATATCCAGATGTTACTGGACTGCAACTCCTTAGATGTCTCATATTGACCATGCTGGTAAAGCATGGTATGAACTGTAGTTCTATAATCTGTGACCCTAATGCAATTAACACCAGAAGATTTTGTTTATCTCCTGCTGTTTAAGGATCAGAGGGAGATATTTCAAAGGTGGGAACTACTTATGTATGTATGTAATGAGGGAAGTCACCCCTCCTAGAAAAATGAAATATTTTGAGAAATATTTAAAAAGGCAGAATATTATATTTCTCCTAAAAGAGAAACGGAAATCTTAAGGGAGACAGAAGCTTCAGCTCCCTGGCCCCAACAGTTATTTGGTGCCCATTAAGAAAGATTGGGACAGCCTATCTATAAAACAAAAGACTTTCCGCTCCACAATGATGGGATTATCCTTCAGGGAAAAGCCATTCAGCCACAATAGGAACTACACAACAAGCCCCTTCATTGCATCAGCCCAAGCTTCAACCAAGCTTGACTCAGAAAACCTACAAAGTTAGCTAATAAAGTTAACCAATAGCTTGCACAGGAACAAGAAGCTCAAGGGCAAGGTGCAAGAGAGGGTATATATAACCCTCACTCTCCACTCCATGTGGTCAGCTACCCAGAATCACATGTGCTTGGTGGTTCTGCTTCACCATTAAACCATCTTTCCAATCAGCCTCCATGTTTCCAGTGTCTTTCTCCCCACTTGAAACTGAACAAGATGGAGATTTCTTCCAACAGTAATAAAATATTATGAGCATGCAGGGTTATGATCACAAATGGAGCACTAAGCCCATTATTTTTCCATCAGCCCCATGGAAGAAACCTATAGTAGATACCTATAGAAGCCAATTGTCTACATGGGCTATTGCAGAGAAGAAAAGGTAAGCTTAGCTACCTCTTTAAAGGGATCC